ATTGCCAAAAACACATCTGATAGGAAAAGATGAGATGAATAGAATGCCGCTAGCGGTAGGTCGGTCAAAAATGCTTTGTGTGTTACAAATCACTGATTGGCAGGTATTTCTCTTCTCACCGCCACTTCAACCGAAGTTCATTCCGCGCACACATGCTTCAGTCGCTTTTCTTCTGTATCTTTTTTCACCTCTAACTTATTTTTAGCCAGCCTAGGTTTCTTTTTCTATCACCACAGCCAATTTCTTATTTTTTTAAAATCAAAGTTACGACTACTACCAATGTTATCAAACAAAAAGAAGAAACGAATTAAACTTAACTATATTGGGAGAAGAGGGGAGGTCACAACACAAAGAGACACATAAAGGAAAATAAAAAGAACAAGGAGGGGTTTGTAAAACAATTTCAAGTAGAAAACAAACAACAAGCTACCTAACAATTTTTTTTTGGATTCAATTTTAGGAAAAGAATCACAGAGAAGAAATCACAGGCTTCTCTTCAAATTAGGTCATTCAATTTCAGAGTGTAAAGAAATTGGGAAACTGTAACAAGGCTAAAAAGGCTGAAAAACTAAAAAGAACAAAACTTTTTTTACGAAATTCGATTAAAATTTTTTTACGAAACTCGCTTCACATTTGTTCGACAAAAATGAGTCGTTGTTTACTTTCTCGGCAGGAGAATGGGTTAATCCGTTCTTTGCAAGACGAAGAAACCCTATCAGTACACATATCAGTGTACTTGAGGCTGCTGAGTACCTACCAAGCTCTGCGAACTGTTTTAAATAAACATACATTTAGGTGAACAGAAGTATTCAGGTGTGAACTAAAGGGCTAACCACTTAAAACAGGTTTGTAGTTACCCTAAAACCTGTATTAGAATGGCCCCTTTAATAGGAGAGCCCTCAGAGAAGGGTTTGGAAAATTAGAAAGGTCCCTTGTAATAGAAGGACTCTCGTAATAGAACGGTCCCCTGTAATAGAGGTACCTCTCCAAAATATTGCTTGATATTGAAAATTTTGCGTACGTCTTCAGTGAAAAATATTCCGAGAATTTTCCATTTTTATAGAAATTCGTTGAAACACTATTTAAAACATTTTGCTCGATTTTGGTAAAATTTTCAGATTTCAATGCATTTTGAACGGAAATTCGCCGAATTTTTTTAGTGAAAATTTTGGGAAAAATGGCCGGAAAAATAGAAGGGCCCTTATAATAAACCCCCCCCCCCCTGGAGGAACCTTTAAAAAATAGAAGGGCCAGCCCTTCTAATACAGGCTTTACGGTAATAAAAGTAACTTCTTTGTTCAAATACATATAATACAAAACTAAAGAAATCTGATCAAAAATGTTTATCATTTCTCTACTATTTTCGTACCTGTATATTTCACATGAATGATTCATGACTTACCTATCATAACAAACGAATGTCGAGTCACAAGATGTTCAGTTTCATCATCAGCCACTCATGTCGTCCACTCAACATGGATATCCGTATCAGAAACACAATTTTTGCAGGAAAAAGCAAAAAAAAAAAGAGCAAAGCACAAAAAATACCGTCTCAAGAGCAAGAACGGAGAGCCATAAAAATGCACTCTTGCCTATTGTTGTTTTCGTTTGATCTTTTGCCGCCTATGACTTTTTACAAGTTTTGGTGAATAGGAGGAAAAAAGAGATTTCTTGAAAAATCTGAACAGCTGTCGAAAAAACTGTTTATGATCAAGTTTTGAAAGTTCACAGATGATAAAAAACAGTGACATGGGGTTCATGAATAATGTTTCTTGGAAAACTGGGCACTTGACTCTGAGTAAACCTGTAAATCGTAAAAATTGTCAGATAAACCCTCGACAGATGTTTTAACCATCTGCCCAGATGTTTTCTGAGAGATTTTCTAAACTTCAAAGAGAAAAAAACTACCGCAAAACCTCGAGAGAAATGACAAACGAAGGTCAAATCGAAACAAAAAAAAGACAACTGTCTCAGCTTGTTGCGATTACCAGGTGTGAATGGTCAGAATTGTGTCGTGTCATCTTTTAACACAATCTACACAGTCTCATCTTGGAAGCAGTCGAAGATTTTGTGTTGAGTAGGTCGTTAGGGGTTACGACGTGCGTCACCTGAATTGCGCATGCATGGCAAATGGCAAATGGCATGGTGTGGAAAGGAAATCCACGTCATAAAAAGTGGAAGAAAAATGGAAGCTAATGTAGGGATAAGAAAAGGAAGCGATTGTGGGAGAGGACAATTAGAAATTCAATTTTTTGAAAAAATTGATAAAGTAATTTTTTATTTTGAATGGAGTATAAAAATCCAAATAATGCTAAAATTGAAAATTTTGAAATTTTGAAAATAAGCAAGAAAACTTGAAACACTTGATAGATGCGACAAGTTGAATTTTTGAAAATTGAATTTTTGAAAATTCCGTAACAAATCATTTGTAGGATTTTGGGAATTTCCTAGTTACCGTGAAAACTCTGAAGGCCACCCAACACGTTAACTTTAAGCTTATTTATCTCATTTTTTCTGAAAGGTATTGAAAAGTGGTTGACTGATAAAAGTGTTACTGATATTATGATAAAATTTCAACAATTAACTACTGATATCTTTTACATGAACCGAGATAATTGAGCTGAAATTTACGGTCTGGGTGGCTTTCTATTAGAGTGTATACGATGCTTCCGGAAATTAAAAAAAATCCTATAATATGTTACTTTAAAAATTGTTTTGTGATAAACCTGAAAGCAGAAAATTAAAAAAAAATGGCTCAATTGATCTGTAAATTTGTGAGTCTTATCATTTTGACGAGCACTTTATTTTTTTGTAATCGTGCCAATATTTAGTTTTTTGGAATTTCCGAATATGAAATTTCATTCATGCAAATAGCCCTGTTTCCAATACTTGTGCACCCCAAAATGATTTTTCAATTTTTTTCTCTGTCACATTTCAGAGTAATAGATATAGTTTGTGATTAAAATATAACACCTGCTGATTTATGGTCAAATTATTATTTCCCTTAGTCGTTTCATTCTTTATTTTACATTCATTTTCATTTGTATGTTAATCAGATTTTTTGTTCCCCAGCTCCAAACGGAAATTAAATATCTTCTGAGAAGCTATTCGATCTATCCGATGACGCGTTTGTTCGGTGTAACTATCGTTACCAGCCACTTGTGACTATACTGAAAAAGGCACATGACTTTCTAGAACTTTTTTTTTTATTTTCTAGAGCCTTCGCTTTTTTTTCTTGATGATTTTTTCCCGTAAAGATAAAAAAGATCTCATTCCCAAAAAAAAATGTTGACGAATTGCTGTAAAACTTCCAAAAGTCCCGTGGTTGAGAAAAAGATAAAAGTCGTAAATTTTTATGGTAAATTTTTTTCTAGATTTCTATTTATTTTCGGTTTGGTTTCTTGGTCCTACTGCTCGAATTTCCCGGACTTTTTTTTCGAAAATTTGAATTGTAGGTTTTGAAACCCGGTTATTTTGGGATCAATCATTCTGAAGCTCGAACGTCAGCTTTTTTGAAAAAAAAAACCTCTAGAAAGAGAAGAAAAGCAAAGAACATGGGCGATGACGCGGTTGTTGGTCTTTTTTGCAACCTTCCTTTTTTCCACCTCCACTGGGATCTGAATAAGATTGATGAACCCGGAACCCGCTTGTTTCAAAATCACGTTTCTCCGCTGTTCTGTTAGTTTGAACGCGCACGAGGGTCCCAGTAGTTTTTTTGCTCCTCCGTTCGATGCTCTATGGGAATTAAAAGAGCATCATGATATAAATTGGCTTCCAGAAAAAAAAGTAAATGCACTTGTGAAGCAATCTAATGAAAGAAACAATTTTGTGAACTCACATGATGAAACATTCAACCGAGAAAAGGAAAAAAAGAAAAATTGAGAGTAATAGAAAAAATGTTCGAATAGAGCAAGAGTTGTTTTTTTTTCTAAATGCAGAGTTTTTAATCAAAAATTGCGTTTTCAAAACTTAATTAATAGTTGAAAATTCAAATTTTTGTTCTTAACTTCGACAATAACTAACGAAGATAGTCAAAATTGAAAAAAAAGACGGGAGATTTGAAATATAGTAAAATTATCTTATTCATAAGTTTAAATTACATCATATGTGAAGAGAAACAGGATTTCCTGATCTGGAAAGTTCCATAACACAGATTTCTTCTCAGAAAAATCTCTCGAAAATATGGTAAAGCAATCTATTTTTGAAGATTAAGAAGTTCATTTTTCAAATTTTCAAATTTTTAATAATTTTATACTTCAAAATCTTTGACATCGTCAGAAGGAAACCTTCCAATTCTCGAAGGATGTGTTGGTAAGCCGGAAGTCGGCTCAAAATTCTGAAATGCAAAATTTTCAAATTCCATATTATTCCAGAGAAACCTTAGAATCAACATTAGGAACTCCTCGGCTCTGATATATAAATTCGAATCTGTGAAACACATCGATTTCATTTTCAACCTATATTTTTGAAAAATCTGGGAATTGAAAATCTTTAAATCTCAGAACCTCAGAATTTGAAGTTGGAACCCCTGAAACTCGGAGATTTAAGGATTGAGATTCTGAAATTCCGAAATTCTGAGATTCTGAGATTCTGGAATTCTGAGATTCTGAGATTCTGAGATTTTGAGATTTTGAGATTCTGAGATTCTGAGATTCTGAAATTCTGAAATTTTGAGATGAGAATTTTTCACAAAATTTATGAAAAGAAATTTAAAAGTTTAGATGTTGATGCCACAGTTTTTTTGAATTCCCATAGGTGTTCTAATCCGTATCGTCATATTTATTTTCTCCAACTTTTCCTGTTTTTTTTTTCAATTTTTTCTTCTTTTTCTTATTTTTTTCTACTTTCTTCATTTTTCATCTCCTTGCTATTTTACTCAGCTTTTCTTTTTTATCAAGTATCATTTCAATAAGTACAGTATTCTACTTTATCATATCTTCTGTTTTTGCTCTTCTAGTCTAAACATTCGTCATCTAGACACCCACAGATTTAATGGGTTCTACAAGTCTGTTCGTAATTGGAATCAATCTGGAAAGTCACCCGACACACCTTGATTGCCCCCCTCCCCTTTAAACACGCCAATTTTCCTGAGCTCTCTGCTCATACTATTTTTTTTGTGGACCTCATAAAAAACGACCAAACGACCGTGTCTCCGGACCAATTTTGGTCATGCTTCACCCAAAAATGGGCGGAGTCTCCGAGTCTCGGAGGGGCGGAGCCTTCTAAGCTGGCCCTTTAAAAGGGACCCCTCTGCGACTCAGTAAATCATTCGATTCTTCCAAGAGATTCAGAGCATCTAACGTTCAAGCGTTCCTCTCCCTTGAGCAACACTCCCCTGAACTCGAAGATGGCCCAAGGAAGGAAGATGGTCTTCGGACTTCTCATCGTCGTCGCACTTGCGACCGAGCTCGGTGAGTTCGAATTATTTTAGTCTTGACAGGCAAAAAGGAAACTTTGCGCTGAGAAAGCATAAGAGATAGCTTTGCCCTTGATTGGCACAAGCGGTCACTTTGCTCTTAGCAAGCACAAGAGGTCCATTTGCCCATGAAAGAGACAGAAGTGAGAGCTTTGCCCTTGGAACGCACAAGAAGGTTGCTTTGCCCTTAAAAGACACGAGCGATCACTTTGCACTAAGGAAGCACAAGCACTCCTCTAGTCTTTAGGGAAACTTTTAGGTTCAAGGTGGAAGGGAGAGCTTTGCACTAAGGTAGCACAAGAGATAGCTTTGCCCTTCGTTGGCACAAGTGCTTACTTTGCCCTTAGAACGCACAAGCATTCCTTTTGTCTAGAACGCACAAGAAGGTTGTTAAGCCATACAGTTGACACAAACGATCACTTTGTAACATCCAGTAGATATCACTGATTCTTACGCTTATTGTCCGTACTCATACTTTTCATTTCCAGCTAACGCCAGCCCAAGCGTCATGCCGAGCATGTGCTCGGCCTCCGAGGAGGCCAGCATGCCGTGCGTCTGTTGCAAGAAGGCCTGCTGGTTTGGGATCGCAGAGGTGAGCAATGGAAAACAATATAGATAATGAGATGGGTCTAGGAAGTAGCCTTTTTTAGGAATATAGTGGAGGGATGGATAGGAAAATGATGAAATATGAGTTGCAAAAAATTCTAGTCTATTTTTTAATTATAGCGACTAAATTAAATTTTCTTTCAGATGACCACCGCCTACTTCGGGCACATGCCTGGAGAGCGTTCCGATGCCGAAGCCAAGTTCACGCTCGCCATGATGCATTCATGCTTCAAGTTGGAGTGTGCGGATTCCTGCCCAGCCAGCCTCTAATTCCGAGCAGGCCTTTCTTGACCGATTGATGATGGACCCCTGGATACCCCCTTCGATTCTTTTGATTTTTTTTCTCCCGGCTTTGACTTCCCATTCCCCCCTTTTCTATTTTTCTCTCCTCCCCCATTATTGTTTTCATTTTTAATTTGAAAGTTTTGTGATCTTTCCGAATGATCTCACCAATTGTATTTTGCCAGAAAATGAGCCAGGAATGGAAACAATCAGTTAATAAAAAATTCGCATTCAAACTTTGTTTCAAGAATACAGAATTGACGAAAACTTGAGTCATTACAGGAAATTAGAAAATCCTTTTAGAAAAAAAAAAGAACAGACATGAAGTTCCGACTTGGTCATATTCAGAAATGTCTGGAAATCATATACTCCCTCTGAAATTGTAGCGGGAACAGCCTAGCCTCTATCCCAAAACAGTAAAAATTGATCTTCGATTTCTCTACTTGTCTTCAACATAGATTGTCCCACACTTCAAAATTTCTCATGTACTATTCTGAATCAAACTACCGTAACCCAACATTCCCATTTCTTTGACCTATATTCTTCATGTGCCTCCATAAACCTCATATAAGCGGTTTCATATAACAACAGATAATCATTCAAAATTACTAAAAATTACCTATGATTATTGCTACGCTTTTCTTAACTTTATCTGGAAAAAAAATGAGCTCGGAAACTACATAATATTTTGGAATCTAGAAAATGGAGAAAATTGGTGCTTGATATTTTTATTCCAGCCTCCAGATGACGTTCATGTCTTTATTCTTCTTTTTTTTCTGGAGAGGGCAGAGTGGTTTCAAATGGACGGGAAGAAAAATGAAATGAGCCTCTGGATACAAAACGTGGGGATAGATGTTCTCAATGACCAAGTGTCGGGTGAAATTAAAAATTTTATGGTTGAGATGAAAACACCGTTTTATTAGATGGGATAGCTAAAAATAGGTCAAACGGGGGACCGAATTAGATGCTACAAGTTTGAAAAAATAGGAAAAGTAATTGTGCCCGAGAAAAAATTGATTATCATCAGTTGTCAAAAACTTAAGAAGTGAGCATTAGGTTCAATTAAAATGCACAATGTTCAAAAATTGTTGTTCGAGTCGTCCTCTTTTTTGCCGCTTAAATCCTTATGAACTTCATCGTCGTCGTCACCATGCTCCGGTTCTTCTTTAATCGTTGCCAAACGTGGAGTTCCACGACGGTACTGGAAAACGAAAAGGATCTTATTTACAATGTTGAGCATTAGGTTTATTGAAATATAGGAAGATAAAAACAAAGTTCCCAATTTAAAAAATTGGAAAAAATGCTCATTAATATTATTGAAATCATTTTTGATGGAGAACTTTTTGACTTTTTTCCTTATCACCAAATCAAAAAAATGACAGTTGGGAACTCTCATATTGAGGGTTTTACGGTACTAAATTTACTTGGCCAACTGTTATATCTTGATTTTTCCAGTAAAAAATACCGTATTTCTTTCAATTGAAGCCCAGCTGAGCGTTAAATTTGAGTAGAATTATCTCAATTTCTGTGAACAATAACAAAAAAATCTCAACCGATAAATTATTTATCATAATGTCACTAGTATTTTATCAATTAACAAATTGTTGATATCTTTAATAGAAATAGAGATAATTGAGCTCAAAGTTGGCGGTTTGGGTAGGCTTCTATTAGAAGAATTAAGGTGGTTACCTTTGAAGTACTAAAAAAGTATTACAGCACTTTTCGATTTGTCTGAAAATTTTACCGTATACTGAACAAGTTTAGATATTAATTTTTGTAGCTGACAACTTTTTTGTCAATTTTCGTTCTGATGAGATATACCTTTTTAGCAAAAATTGCCGAAAATGTAAAAATTAACACAGAAATGAGAATTTTTTCGGCTCATCTTGCTTTATGGGATTTTAACAAAAAAGTTGTCAATTACAAAAAAAGTTCTAATTGTGTTTAGCATACTTTAAAATTTTCAAAAAATTTGAAAAACTTCAAATTAATTTTATAGTTGTATAGTTTATTATTTTATTTTAAAGCTAAGTATTTCATGTTGAAAAAATGAAAAAATGATATTCTTTTATCTGGGGGTATAGAATTTTTTTAACATTTTGAGATCTCTGAAAATTCCTCTTGAAATTTTGGAAACCCGAATTTTTGAAAATTGGAATTTTTAAGTTTTAAATACGTATATTACCGCTCCGAACATTTGATAAATTTAGTAACTAATCACTTGAGTTTCTTCTTTTTGCTTACGCTTAATCATTCAACTACTCGACTTTTTTATTTTGCAGTAATTTTTCGATTATTCACTCACCAAACATTTTGGACGGTCACGCGTTGATCCTTTCTTCACCATTGTGTAATACACGCCGTTGATGTAATATCCGTACTTTTTGAATACCGGATAGTTGAATGTGTTGACTGAAAATAGCTCCAAATAGATGAATAGATAGCAGATAGGCTTGGATGTTTCGTTTTCTCATATGTTTGCGGGAGAGAAAAGAAAAGAATCCTGCTCTGAAAAGTATTCCACCCGAAAATCAATTAAATCTATCCATTTCCTAGTTTTTTTCGTTAGCTTTATTTTTCTTAAAATGTTTCATTGTCTTAATTGAGATTTTCTTATAGTGGAGGGAAATGTAAACAATACTTTTATTTCGTAGAATTATTTGCCTCGAAAAAGATTTCAGAAACAGAGAAAAAAAAAAGAAAAACTTGAAATATGTGTGCTAGAGAAAAAAATCTTGAGAGATGTCCTTCACGAACACTAAATTTACGACATAATTTCATGTTCCGCTTTTCCTCTGCTTTTTTCTATATCCCGCCAAATCTAACTGAGCAGAAGGAAAGAAAAACTGGAAAAGAGCAAAAAAAGAATCTCACAGTTTTGAGAAGTGGCCATCACCGCTGGGTCAATGTCATTAGGTAGATTAACAAAGATGCTGCTTGAGAAGGTTGGCTCTCCGAACGAAATGTAACTGGCACTGGTGAACTCTGCAGAACTCAGTTCTCCAAATTCGGACTCTTCGAAATCATCATCTTGTGGATTGGTTTCTGGGCATTCTAGAATTGATGGAAGGCGAGATGGTGATGATGGATGAGGCGGAGAGGAAGAAGAAGATGATGCACCCTCGTTAACAGTCATTCTGAAAGTAAAAAAAATTAAAAATTGAATTAAAGTTTTTGAAAAAATTTCAAAAAGAGAATCAAACAAATTATACTGGACTCAGTTGAAACTACCGTACTATAAAATCTTAATAGATCGGCTTATTTGATAAAAGAATCCCTCTGATAGAAGGGCCCTTCGAAAATAGGGCTGGAAAAAAAGAAGTACAGGTTTTACCATTTAGTGTCATTAGTATACCGTAAACACTCTAATAGAACGCCACCCGGACCGTTCACTTTGAGCCTATTTATCTCACTTCTTTTGCATGATATCAAATAGTTGTCAACTTAAAAAATGTTTATCATAGTATCAGCAAAATTTAATTTGTTAATCACGTTTTGATATCTTTCACAGAAAATGAGATAAATGGTCTGAAACTCGACTAATCGGGTGGCGTTCTATTATAGAGTTTACGGTAAGTCAAAGAAATTAAAACTAATAATTAATAATATCAAAGTCTCTAAAAATTCGTAATTCCCAAAATTCGAATTTCAAAAATTTGAGTAAGTTTGAAAATTCATTCAAAAAATTTGAAATATTTTTTTTTCAAATTGAATGATAATGTTTTAAATTCCTTTTCGAAAAATAATTCCGCCATAAATTGTTTTTAAAATTTTTAGACACATGCGGTCACATTCAAAAGTTGAAACAATGGAACATTCAAGAAAGGGTAAAGCAAACATGATACATACAAGGCGCGAATGTACAGTTTTTTGCTTGTTTGAATTTTGTGTGTGGGTAAGAAAGCACCAATGAAACAAACAAAAAAGGGATTAGGACTAGAAATCATCATTTAAATATATAAAGCCAGTAGAGTTTTCCGAATACCAAGAAAGAAACTTCTGGATTATCTATTTTTATCAGGAATTTTTAACAGGAGCAGGACCTAACAGAATTTCGAAAAAATTTACTGATCACAAGATAAGAAGACGTGCCCTTTTTCTTCGTTACACATCTGCTCTTATTAGTCAAAAAGGTGGACTTTGACTTCTCACAACTAGAGAAGGAAAAATATGTTACCGCTTCAACATTGCTTCCGTTAGAAAACATTTTGTGACAGCAGGAAATCGAGTAGAGAGAAGGAGAGAAGAAGCTGCAGATTGGTTTTCAAGGACATATTTTGTCCGATTTGGAATACCAAAAGAACAAAAGGAGTATTTTTCTGTTTCAAACTCTACAACACACGGATAACGGTTTATTTAGTTTTTGGAGCTGGTCAGATAGTTTGAACAGTTTTCTGTTTGAAAAATTGGTGAGATCAAATAGGAAAAATAGATGAAAAGAGTGGTGCTTTTTGGAAACAGAGAACATCGGTCATTGACACACAGAAACAGATGAAAATTAGCATTTAGAAGAGAAGAAGAGCATTTCGTTTTTTTTTCAAATGAAATGAGAACATGGAAAATATATGATTCAACAATAAGAGATGGGAGAATAAGACCAAAAATTATAAATATGAATTTCTGAATTTCTGAATTTCTGATGTTCTAAATTTCTGAATTTCTGAATTTCTAAATTTCGAAATGTCTAAATTTCTAAATTTCTGAATTTCTGAATTTCTGAATTACTAAATTTCTGAATTTCTGAATTTCTGAACTTCTGAATTTCTGAATTCCTGAACTTCTGAATTTCCGAATTTCTGAATTTCTGATGTTCTAAATTTCTAAATGTTTAAATTTCTAAATTTCTGAATTTCTGAATTTCTGAATTTCTGAATTACTAAATTTCTGAATTTCTGAATTTTGAATTTCTGAATATCTGGTTTTCTGAATTTCTGAATTTCTGAATTTCTGAATTTCTGAATTTCTGAACTTCTGAATTTCTAAATTTCGAAATGTCTAAATTTCTAAATTTCTGAATTTCTGAATTTCTGAATTTCTGAATTTCTGAATTTCTAAATTTCTAAATTTCTAAATTTCTAAATTTCTAAATTACTGAATTTCTAAATTTCTAAATTTTTAAATTTCTGAATTTCTGAATTTCTGAATTTCCAAATTTTTGAATTTCTGAATTTCTAAATTTTTAAATTTCTAAATTTCTGAACGTTTTTTTTTCAAATGAAATGAGAACATGGAAAATATATGATTCAACAATAAGAGATGGGAGAATAAGACCAAAAATTATAAATATGAATTTCTGAATTTCTGAATTTCTGATGTTCTAAATTTCTGAATTTCTGAATTTCTAAATTTCGAAATGTCTAAATTTCTAAATTTCTGAATTTCTGAATTTCTGAATTACTAAATTTCTGAATTTCTGAATTTCTGAACTTCTGAATTTCTGAATTCCTGAACTTCTGAATTTCCGAATTTCTGAATTTCTGATGTTCTAAATTTCTAAATGTTTAAATTTCTAAATTTCTGAATTTCTGAATTTCTGAATTTCTGAATTTCTAAATTTCTAAATTTCTAAATTTCTAAATTTCTAAATTACTGAATTTCTAAATTTCTAAATTTTTAAATTTCTGAATTTCTGAATTTCTGAATTTCCAAATTTTTGAATTTCTGAATTTCTAAATTTTTAAATTTCTAAATTTTTAAATTTCTGGATTTCTGAATTTCTGAATTTCCAAATTTCTAAATTTCTAAATTTCTAAATTTCTAAATTTCTAAATTTCTGAATTTCTGAATTTCTAAATTCTGAATTACTGAATTTCTAAATTTCCAAATTTCTAAATTTCTAAATTTCTAAATTTCTAAATTTCTAAATTTCTAAATTTCTAAATTTCTGAATTTCTGAATTCATATTGAAAAGTAAATTCTTCAAAATCCGTCTTCCTTTTTTGCAAAGAGAGGATATTCTCAATATCTTCGCCGGAGGGGCTAAGAAAGCATTTTGTCATAAGAACATGTCTCTTTTTTTCTCTTTCCTTTTTTGAGTTTTTCTCAAGTAAACCGAGCGCACTTTGAGGGTGAAAACTTAGTCCCAATGGACAACCAAATGGCTTCAAAAAGTAAAGAAAAAGTAAAGAAAATGAAAACAAAAAAAAACTATTTGATAGATGACCAGTACGTGTGTTTCAGCAAACAGAACGCGGTTGTAAACCTTTTTGCCCCTTCCTAAGATTGATAAGATAGGGGGAACAGGGAGAGCTGACCACACACATAAAATGCATCATCACTTGTGTGAGCTCACTAGATGAGGGTAGGTGGGCAATAACTGTATAATCTGTTCTGGCGGGAAAAAGTGAAAAAGGTAATTTGAATTTTTGTAAGCAAATTGCTAGAAGTTCATCCACGGATAACGTATTTTAAATAATTTAAAGCTTTTTTAACAATCTCTGAGCATATTAAACATAAAAATACTAACTTTCGTAATTTTTTTGCTCAAAATTCCTATCCGACGAATAGAAGGGCGCCCCACACTGTCAAGTTTGAGCTCAATTATCTCGGTTCCTGTGAAAGATGTAAAAATCTTGTAAACTTGCAAAACACTTCTGATATTATAAAAAATAATTTATCAGTTGACAACCTCCTGATATATTTCACAGGAACCGAGAAAAATTGACTCCAAATTTAAAGCTAGGGGACCTTTTTTTTATACGTTTTACGGTACCTCTTTAAGCAACGAAAAATGCCGAAAACGTAAAAAACAGAACATGATGTGCCGATTTGAAACCGTCTATCTATTTTTCTTAAATTCATACAGAATATTACAAACTTGAAGCTCTAATTCGGTTTTGTATGGTCTGAAAATTTTTGAAAAGTCGAAAAATTCCGAACTACTTTTTCAGATCTTCAAAATATTTTTTACCGTACGTAGATGACAAAATTTTTAGAAGAAGAAAGGGAAGAGCTAAAACTTGAATAAGTGCTTATTCATGAAAATTTTGAAATTTTGATATTTCTGAAAATGTGGTAAAATTTATGTCTATAGTAACGTCCGAATCAAGAGCTTCTGTGAACGGATTTTTAAAAGTTTGAAAGTTAAAAATGACAACTTTAAAAATCTGAAAATACTCAAAGCATTTTTTTTCTCACTTCCCTGTCTAAAAATTGTGTCCACACTTGAATGATGGATTATACTTGTTTTCTAATCAAGATTACATTCTTTTTGGTGTTTTTGGTATGTTCTTAAAGTTGATCATGTGAATTTAGAATAGTTTCAACCCGGATTTTAGAAACAACTGAGACTTTGATTGATTTATAAGATTTTCTTATCTTGCTAAAGTTTTCCCAAACAAGATCACTTTTTTTTGCGTTTCTGTCAAACGCTTTCAGCGTAGGGTCATAAAACTGATAGGGTGACCTTCTGAAGAGCGTTTTTCTTAGCGGTTTTCGCGTATTCCTACGTTCATAAAAAACGATAGGTGATTAACTCAACTGTCAATTGATAGGGGCAGTAACCCGGTTTCGGTGAGAACAGAACACACCTTCAGCAAAATGGGGGTGGGTTTAAAAGGGGATTGCGTTCCGTACGGCACGTCTTCAGTATTGTTCCCCATTGCAAAAAAGTTATCATTGAGTGTACTTCTCCAACTCAACCATGGTTTCCCCATCAGAACAGATTCTGACTACCGAACAAATGATTGAGATACTGGTGAGTTTTTTTTTCAAGTTTTCAACATTGCAATCCGAAAGTATCCGAAATTCCAGAATCGACTGGAAGACATCGAAATTCGAGCCATCCACATTCTTGGAATCTTCCGCGATCCTCTTGTAAATTTACTCGGGAATTCCATGATCAATTTTAGAATTTTAGAAAATCGATGAAGCCTTCTGCTCTTACAGCAACATGCTCCTGGAAGTTCAAATACAGATTCGCGACTTTCGTGTCCTTCTCAGCAAGAATAATGGACACTGGAATACTGATGTAATTAAATCATAGTTGCAAAATCTCGGGCCGGCCTGGGGTCTGTACAGACGCTGATTTTTTTGAATTCTTTTCAAAAATATATAGAAAAACGACATATTTCTGACTACTTTCTACTTTGTTAATTTTGTTTAAAAATGTAACTTTTTTTCTTTTTTTATTCAAAAAAAATTATTCAAGTTTTCATTGGAAATTTTTCAACAGTGGTAGGCGGGCCGAGCGGCGGGCCGAGAAAATTCCTCTACCAGCCCGGCCTTTTGCAACTATGAATAAAATCATAGCGAATTTCTCCTGAAAAAATATGGTTTTCAGATATACCAAAAGTTTCTCGCCTACTCGTCGAACACATTGAATCATTGTAATCAGGCTGCATCTCGAATGTATCCACCGATGTACCGACAACAACAGCGCCAGTTTTAAAATCCAGAATAAATACGGTTTTTGGAAGATTTGAAATGTACTTAATAGTAATTTAGACATTATTCACATTAATTTTTTTAAATGAAGTGTTTCCCTCATATTTGAAAAAAAAAGAGATCAGCTGCAAATGAAGACCATATACCGTGAAAAAAGTTTGGGCTGATTTTTGGGCTTCTATGCAAGAAATAAAAAATATGTCAACCAATACAATTTTTGTAATATTGTAATAATGAATGTGTCCGTCGACTACTTTTCATATTTTTGACCGGGATCAAGATAAAATGACTGGAAGTTGAGAGCAAGGACGCTCTTCTATTACAAGTTCACGTCGCCTTCAAATTAGATTTCAAATTTTTTTCGTTTTATTTCACATCGTTTTTATTCTATTTTTCTTCAATATATTAATTTACTTAAAGTTTTTGGTGTGTTGATTGCGAAATGCAATGCAAGCGCGCTCCGATGAACAACTTTTTTTCATTCGCAAGATTTATTTGGTATTATTCCAATTTAACCATATAGATTAAACTAGTGGTTTAGTTGAATAAAAGAGAAATTCACAGTGGAAACAAAATATTATCAAAACGGGGGAGTAAAGCATCAAAGAGGTTGAACTAAAACCTCACCGCAACCGATTGGTTTTTCGGGAAAACTTCTTGCAAAAAGAAGCCCACCGAAAAACTGTACAGAGCGACAAAGTTTTTTTTGGGGGATGAAGTTGTACATCGGAAGGTGGATGATTAGATGGTGGTGGTTTGGGAGAAGAAAATCACAAAGAGAGACCCTCTAGACTACTGAAATATGACATTGGTGACGAAACGGGGCGTCTGTATTCAATTAGAACTTAGCATGGGGTGTACTGAACAGTTGGGGGCAGACAATGGGAAGAGAGACCAACGGGTTGGGCGCATTAGGGGAGACAAATATATGGAATTTTAGTTTTTTGACAAATTATAAATGTCTTGATATTATATCAATGATAATAAATAATTTTGATAGAATATATATTGGTATCGGCAGTTTTAGTTTGGCAGAACGACCAAAGACTTGCGAGTCGGGCGATCAAGCGAGCTTAGAGAGTCGTACGAGTCCTCGCTGGCTCCACTGTCAGATCTCTAAAAAAGAAACAAAGTTGTAGAAACAAAAAATCAATAAACTTACTTTCGAATCAACCAGTTTCGTTGAAGTCATTATCTGATTTTTGAGCTCCAAATTCTCACGAGTCAACCGTTCGATTTCACGAGCCTGGTTTTTGATCATCTCATCGCGAGCTCTGTATTGGTCCATCTGATGAGTGTCACGCCAGTAGTCACCTTGCCTGAATTATGCAAAAATAATTTTTAGTAATAAATTCAACGCTTTCCTACCTCTCCCAGTCATCTGGAACATTGACGACGCTTGGACGAAGCAACGCGGAAGTTCTGGAAGCGCGAGGATTGGTTCTCGGAAGGCTCAACCGATTCTGAGAAGCAATTCCAGGGACCGATTGACCACGTGGCGAAGGCTGGCAGTCCGGTGGCACTGCGTAGACTTGCATCTGGAAAAAATTAGCATACTAATTGCATTTTTGAAAGAAACCATGGGACAATTTAGTAAAGCAACACTTACCGGCTGATAGTGGTATTGATGCACCTCTGGATCGTATGGTGGTGGGCTGGCACGCTTCTGATAAACGATCTCCTTTGGCTCAGCTGGAATGCTGAAACCAGCAGATGGACCAGGACCGAATACTGGATTGGCAATGGAAAGTGCAGCCATGCGTTCGACTGGTGATGAGCTGGATGAGTTTGAGTAGCTGGATCTGAAAACAATCCCGAATTAAATTAGAATCAACTTGATATGAATCAAGCTAGCCACTGGGACTATCACATTGACAAGCTTACAAAATTGATATCTCACCTGGATGGATTATTGCTCATGTATCCACTGGACGCCTGCTGGCTGCTTGATGGAGACGCATCGGTGCGTGGAAGACGTTTCCGATTTCTCACGCCACGTCCCAGCTCATCGCGCAATTCAAAATCCGAATCGGTGTCATCTCGAATCTCTGCACTGCTTGTCGTCTTGTCGCTAGTACGGCTTGAAGACGTTCCAGTCTCATCACTGAGTCTCGCTGGACGAAGGCTCGGAGTTTGGAAGGCCGAGGAGAGAACGTAGTCGTCGGAAGTCATGAGGTGAGTGGCCGGCCGGTTCATGGAACGTCCCATCACAGTGGCTTGGCCGGTTGGTGGAGTACTACGGTAGGCAGGCACATTCTCGTGACGAGGACTAAAACGGATTCTATTTAGTTTACGAGCTAACATCGATATATGCACGTGCAGCCAAAAACTTAAGAAAACTTACACAACATTCTGCTGTGGGCTATTCTCATAATCCGATGATGGCTGTTGAACCATTGGAGAGTGGAAGATAGCGTGATCCGGCCGTCTTTTGGCCTCAGCCAACTCAGTGAGCACCTGTTTGACTTCTCCAAGTGGCTTGTTGAGATTCTTCTCCTGAAGCAGTGGACTCCAGACTTCCTCAAGATACGAGCCGATAAGACTAAGCTCTTTTCCAGCGTCCACAATAGCATCTGCACTCTTATCTGGTCCCACTGACTTGGATCTGAAACATTTATTTTTTGTTTATTCTATTCGTTCTGCTTGTTTAGACATTCTATTGTACGAAAAAGTGTCAGGCTCCGAAAATAGCTTTTGTAATTTAATACGGTCTCCATTTTCTGTTTATTTCCCCCCGTATAAACTCACTCAGTCGAGATTTCCAGCAAGAACTCGTGCATACGATTCCACTCGCGATCAACAAATGTGTTCATAAACTCCATGTGTGGTTCTTTTCCTCCGAACTTGCTGAAGTTGGCAAGATTCTGAAGAGTCTTTGCGATGAGGGTCAGGTTGCGAGCGTTATTGATCGATGGGAACTCGGCAACCAAGTTGAACAGGCTTGGACTTAAAATGGCTGGGCACAAAAAGCGAAGGAAGATCGAGGACGAGATGATTGTCTCGGCGTGCTCCCCACGATTTTGAGCTTCTAATCGGAGTCGCAATGTGGCGAAGACCTTTCCGAGGATCTTAGGAACCATGTGGACACTGAAAATTGTTCTTGGTGAGGCAAAACCAAAACTAGATCAACTCACCTGTTAATGATTTTGGTCCAAGCAACCTCGACATATCTTGTGAGCAATGCTCGATTCTTCTCTAGCACTGAACTCGGCACATTGCCCAATCTCTGTGGGTCGACTTCACACGAATCTTCGCATGCAACAACAGTCATGATGAAGTCACGGAGTGTGAATTCGAGATAATCAGAAGCGACAAGCTTCATAAACGACTCCATCGACTTTGTCGCAACAGTGTTACCACGGAACATCAGATTATCGTTATCCAGCTTGCCGATTTCAGCCATAACGAGGTCGGCCAAGTATTCGACAGCGCAGTTCTGTTTGTACATAACTCGAACGAATGAAGTCGCGAAGTCTTCCTGAAACTGTGATAATGTGTGAGCATTTGTTCATAGAAAAATCTGTTGTTTTACCTTATCTCTGACATTCAACACTGGCTCCAATTGTTGACACAGATCTAAATAATTGTACGTAAGAAGTTCCGAAAGGCGGTCGTAGACACGAAGTGGAAGAACATCGACGGATTGCCATCGAGCTTTGATTCTGATCGATTGAACTTCCTGACTGCTACTTTTCCCACCAAGTGCGGATGCGATACGGCTGGCCGATGAGTCTTGTTGTGTGTTGTTCACAGTGTACCTGAAAAATTGCGAATGGGATTAGGTTCGATCGGTTCGGCGGCCGAAGTTACTTCGGCCTTGACTTTTGGGATGATGAGATTCTGATAATCCTCTTTTCTTTAAATTTTACTGACCTACAATACTCTCCAAACAATGTCGATACTCTCACATAGTTCTTTTTCAATTTGAACGACCATAAAAAGGTTTTGAGCATATTTTTGACTTTCCCATTTTCATTCGAAAACTCTTCTGCTTGCAAGTTTTCGATGGAAGGATACATCGAAGCTAGTGAATAAGGAATTATAGCGGAATTGTGTGATGACGGATCGCATGGATCGTACTCACCACGCATGATCTGAAGGCGTGATAGAATGATTGCGATGAGATGGAAAAGATTCGAGAAATAACAAAAAACATTTTGGCTAGTTTTGGAATTGAGTCATCCGAAAGGGATGAAATGTCCGGGAGATTTCATTAGATAACATCTATGGGATGGCATTTCGTGATTGATAGGAAGGGCAAGGGAACAAGAAAAATTGGTTTTCTTGTTTTTTGAAATCGTTGATAAAAATGTTCAAGTGGATAAAATAGTTGTAACTGTTGGAAAAGGTGTTGGAAAAAGAGAAAACAACTACGTAATCACTAAAGGGAACACTGAGAATGTTTGATCAAGATTTCGGAACGGTCTGGCCTGTCAAAATGGTGTTTGTGTGCGTGAAATGGCCGGATTTTTGGTCGGGTTTATCACACGCACACTCACGTTTCGTATTCCAAACAGAAATTGGTGAGAAGGGGGCAGGATCATGTAACCAAATATGGTCAAAGTTCAGTTAGAGACAAAAGACTACTGTACAAGAACTGTTTCTTTTTGAGAAAAAAAAAGAAAGAAAGAAAGAAAGATGGATTAGAACTACTTTGTTGTCTCCTTGCTGTCACTTAACACGAACAACACTGTGGCTTTTTGGACACGGATGTTCGAAGGGGGAGCGGAGAAGAAATGTGTGAATGAAGCTAAGCGTAAAAGCATCATCTGAGAAAGGCAAATTTTTGGTGTGGAAGACGCCCTACGGTAAGTTATAAGAATCCATGTTTATTCAACACTTCTACTACCCATTTATGCAAAAGTAATGGGATTTTCACTCTCCCCCGCCTTCCTAAGATCCATCCCTCTGCGTTCGGAGTGTCCCGAATAAAAATCCTGATGACGAGAAGATATAGGTTATGAAAACGATTCACGCTTTTGCGGCAAAATCCATGAATTATCGCGAAGCCTACTTTCTGTTAAGCGAAAGAAAGAGAGAGGCGACTTTTGAACCCAACCACATGGAGGTTAATGACAAGTTATACATATACATTTATGTATAATTGTATAAACGATGATATGTAAAGAGATGACGATGTTGTTGGGCGGTGACTAACATACACAGACCAAAACTAAATCGCATTCTTCTCCACTTTTTTTTGTAGGGGCGAGAATTTGTTTTCAGGGGGAGAAATGGTATAAAATGAGTGTTAATAGACCTCCTTCTCCTTGCAATCGACCAGTTAATTGACGCCAGAAAGGCAATTAAAATCGAAGACTTTCCATTCTCCCTCAGTTTTGTTTTACCTCACACACACACACACACACACATCCTTCTCAAGGTGGTGTGTTTTCATATGTGAGTATGAGTATCGACGTTGTAAAAATAAATGAGTATCGGAAGTGATTTGTTTTATAGACGAAAAACTCACCAACGCTCAACTGGACTCTTGCTGGCAAGCTGGTCAATTCCTATGATGACGTATCCGATCAGAGTGTCCTTCTTCTTTTTCGAGTCGGATTCACGGAACAGACTAATGCAGATTTCCTCGATTTTTGGGAGCATCCTGGAAAAAAATCAATTGGTACAATGTTATTCAGAGCCGTGTGATTAAGTTTTTTTAGCAATTTAGACTTTGTTCGGTTAGAATGGCTGGGTTCATTCTCGCAAATATTTAGAGCTAGATGTTGACGTTTCATCCGAATTGGCAAAACTGGTAAAGTTCAAGTTTGACTGCTATAAGCTAGGTCTGATGTAGCATAGAATTGATTTACGACAATTTTTTGAATTCTCGGAGCTTTCCAAGATCACAGGTATAACATACAATAACTGTAACAATTTTCATCTTTCCAGGTTTCAAAATTTTAGTATGATTTCTAGAAAATCAGGACTTTTGATCTTCGCATGTTTTTCAAATTTATTTTAGACTAAATCCAAGTCTTATATTTTTCTCCCTTCCAAACTCACTGAAACTCAAAGTTCTCTCCCCAGAAGACGTTGTCGCCGCGAGCCTTGGCTGATGTCTTTCCGTATAATGTCTTGTCAAGTGTCATCTCGCAATAGTATCTGAAAATAAAGAACATAATTTTTGATAGGTTCCCAAAAAATCTCACTTTCTCTTGGCTGGCAAGCCTTTGCCTTCGAGAATCCATATGAGAAGACTGTTCTCTGTGCGCTTCTGGAGATCCCGTCGGGGATTCATACTGCGACGGAGGCTGAAATTTTCGTAAATTAGTTGGCTAATAGAATCAAGTTTGAACTGGGCTAGGGGGGTTAGAAAAGTTATACATCACAGATAAGACATGGACACGAATGGATATCAATCAAGACACTTTTCCTATTTAGGAACGATCCTTATTCAAGAAGATGGAGAGTTTTGAGGAAATGTAGAGAAGGAAAACAAAACCCGAAATGGACGATAGATGACGATAAGTGGTGGTAGGAGTCAATGAGGCGGGTGCACCCACCAACAACATCACATATTCAGCCCGTTGGTGCTCCGTAATTAGGTAATTTTATTTGCAAGAGTAAAGAGAGTGTGTGAGGGAAGAGTAGGGGATAGAAAGAGAGAAGAAAAAGAGCAAAAGGATTGAAGGACACTGTTGATGGAAACCGTAGAATAGAGCAGGTGCGACTTGCTCTAGATGGTAGCGGTGAATGAATGGAAAAATGAGAGTGGCGGGATAAGAAGAAAGCCGACGTGCTTGTGCACACGCACATATTGGGCAAAGCGGTATTGTAATGAACAATGAAGAAGTGGTGGTTTAGATTCTCGACTAGGAAAAATGACGTTGATGAGAGAGAAGGGAAAGGGGGACTTCAAAAACTCCAATTTGTTTTACTTTTACCTCTCTACTTGAATAACAATAACAACAATGACAGCCATCATTCTAGAATCCATAACGAGTTTCGCGATAAAAATCTAGGAATCAAGTCAACTTGAGACCGACTGAAAACAAAAATGAACAAATTGGCTAGAAAAGTTCTAGAAAGAATTTATAAAAACTTTTTTCGGTAACACCTCAAAGTGAGATTCTAATCGAAAATAGTTAGTGAACGTCATTCTAAAGGTGGATCACTGACCACTTATTCTAGAACTGTTCTAGAACTTCTCTCGGCACAACATAGTGCAATGCATTGAGGAGTTGACAGTGACGGATGACTCTGTATTGGGAAATTCGAGGGTGAACCAAAAGAAGAAGAAGAAGAACGGAAGCGCCAAAGGAAATTGGTGGGTCAAACCAACGAAAAACTATCAAAAAAGGAATGTGTGGGAGGTTTTCTGTGAGGTCACTTTGTTGCAAAAAAGCGAGACAGCGCATTATTGTACTTTTTCAAACTACAGACCAAGACAAAATCTCCTTCTGTATGTTTGTGTGGAGGTGAAATGTGTGTGCACAGGTTGATTGTGCTCCCTCTCTCTCTCCGCTCTATTTTGTTCATCACCCATTTCTCACCAGACCGCAATAGTTTTCCTCTTTTCTTCTTTTTCTTCTTTGCCATGGTAGCTGATTGTTTGATGATCAGATTTTGTTCACACGGATGGCAAAGAACTTAGAATCTAGAGAAGGGACGATCCGATTTCCGGATTTCAATATTTCTTACTCTTAGGATTCACACGGTGCCTAGATCTTGCTGCGATTCAAAACAGGCAGATCTGATTGATGGGTGAGAGAGGAGAACAAAGTTAGTTAAAATTGGCGTGGAGTCCATGAGAAAATAGAGACATTCACTAGGAGGATGGATGTTCATCCGTTAAACACATCTGGCGATTAGTACTAGGAGCACTTCTTTTTTTTTTTGGAAAAAAAAATTGTAAAGAACTGTACATCTGGAGATCAGGCCAGGTGCCCAGTGCCCGCGGAAATGGAGACTTATGGAAACTGACAATGCAATCGACAATGATCGATAGCAAAAGTGACACCACAAAAGAAAAGATGAATAAAGCAAAGAAAAGAGTTTTTGACTGTTTTTTTTTATGGTCGTTTGTTTGAAACACAACAGAGTCTTCGTCTTTATAGAAAAATGGTTTCTCTACATCTCTCTTGCATTTCATACCTTTCCTACCCCGCTCAAAATAAACAATTCCTTATACGGAAAAGGCCGATCTTTCTCACTTTTCGTCACCGCCCCGTTGATTGTTGGGTTTCGGCTTTCTCCGAGACCCACTTCTCTCCTTATACAATACCTCAAGAGGTCTCATAATCATTGTAATTAGAGAATAGGGTAATTTCTTAGGAGGTCTCGAGGAAGATAGGTAAAATCGAATAATAGAACAAGGTCGTACATGGAAGAGAAACGCCTAGAAACTTGAGAGCGGGTCAAAAAGAGGAAAAAGAGAAACAACTAAATTTCAGCTAATTCGATTTTTTGTTGTTCTTGCTCATCTCTCGATTGCCTCCGAGTTTTTTGGTGCGTTAGAGGTAAGTTTCTGCGAGAAATTTGAGAACATTTGCGAGGACGAACTGGCTTCATTTTGCCGTGTTTTACCCCCCGCACTTTCCTATACAATGTCATTCATCACAAACATTTGCATTTGACATGGTATAGATTTCAAGAGAAAAAAAAATTAAAGGGACAAGGATGGGGGCAGAAAAACAAGTTGGCATTGTTACCTGCTAGATTTATTGAAATTTTAGTACCGCATAACCTGTATTAAAAGGGCACCCTCTAATTGAAAGGCTCCTCTAATAGAAGAGCACTCCGGAGGTACCTTGGAACAAAAGAAGGGCCGGGCCTTCTAATACAGATTTTACGGTATTTTTCAGGTCAATTTTTCAGGATTTAGCCCTAAACTTTTTGTGAGATCAAAATCACTGATTTTGGTCCAAAACCTATAAGAGAACGTAGATTTTCTAGAAAAATAGCTCTAAACAAATAATTTCGTAGGAAAGGTGATTGTCAGGTGAGAGGTGGGGAGTGGGAGAAGAAGAATAACAATGAAACATAAACAGATTTCGAGAATAAACTATTTTTAGTTGTTGTTATTTAAAAATTTGTTGGCAAACTGTTCGAGTAATTTTTGACTCTATTGGGATCCCCTGGAGAACTGGAAATCTAGAAATCCTAGAAATTTTAAAGCAAATACTGCAAAAAGACCACGAGCACCAATAAGCATCCTTTGTGATATCAATTAAGAAGATTGAGAAAAGAGAAATTCTGAAAAAAACAGTTAGGATCCAAGAAAACTTGTTCACTGGGTCTCTACGAAGCAATCCAAAATGCAAATTTTCCCCTAAAATTTCCAAGTGCGTCGCGTCGAAATTGAAAAACAAACAGAAAATGCAGACGAAGGCAGATGATGAGCGAGAATTGTCAAGGATCGTTTTCCTGGTGCGCATCATCCTCTACTTATACTCATCATCATCATCCTTCAATGAAAACATAGCGAAAGGATGAGGGAGAAATGAAATGAAGAAACAGACGGAAGAAGAGAAGGAAAGGCTAAGGAAGAAAAAGGGATGAAGCGAGTTGAGCGTTTGGGTAGTAGCGAGTAGCGCAATCAGATTAAATTTCGCGCGCCGGGTGGGTAGGAGCGCCTCAACGTGTGTACGTCAGTGCACACGGGATGGGGCCCCGAGAAGCAACCCCAAAATTGAACCCATAAACTTATTTTGATATGCCTAGCCGCCTATGTGGTCACTTTTTGGGCCAACCTGCCTAGTTGGAAAATAGGGAGGAGATTGATAATTGTATGGAAATCGACGTGTTGTCCGAACAATGTAAAACGGCCTTCCACTCTTCCTCATTCATAATTGCAGCCACCTTCCGCACAGTACACAACAATTCCGCTAATCGGTGAGTGGGCGAGAGGATATGATGTTCTACGCAGACATGAACTTTTTTTTTTGAAAAAAAGAAGAGTATAAACTGAATTGATCTTGTTGTAGTCTTCCCTCTCTCCCTCAAACAAGGTCAAATTTAGAAGAAGGCGAAACCCAATTCAGCCTAAAAAGAGCAGTATTGTATTGAATTATCCTACTCATGGAGAAAATTGGTTCGAATAATCGGAAATTGGAGGGTAGGAGGTGCTTCGATTTTTGTTGAAGTCAAACCATGTGAAAATTTAAGAGACGTCGCGAAAAAACCGACCACCCAAAAGCGATGAGGTGTGAATAGGGACGAACGCATCAAGTGTTTGTTGTACATTTGGCCCCTTTCACCACCCTGGCGACCCTAGGAAAATACAAAAATTTAAAATTTGAATGATGTTGGATGTGTAGAACCCAAGAAAATTCGAAATGAAGGCTGAAGACACGAAACCGTCCCGAGAAAAAACCACCGACGAATTCGCGTCGTGTTAGATTCTAGATTCTTATCTCAAAAAGGTGTTGCCTAATTTTTGTTGCCTAGGATTGTCAGCGAATACAAAAGGACATCGTTTTAAAACTTCACATGGACCCCGAAACATATATTTTACCTTGGCGAAGAGTCGATGGAACTTCTGTCGTGTATAATATTACAGGAGATTAGTGACACGAGGTTCTGGACTTTGGATATAAATTGGAAACCCATGGTTCTGCTAAAACGATATTACGTAGAACATACAACGAGTAAAAGACGGTAACGGTACAAAATAAGCGCAAAAAATCGGTTTTTTGGAAAAACAACAGAAGCATGGCTTGAAGTTTTCGTTACGCGCATTTTTTAAAGAACTTTCCCAGACAAAACTATAAGTTCATGGAGTTTGTTCGCATAAAAACGGCAAAATTAAGTACAAAATGAGATTAACTCTCAAGAACCCTAAACGCGCATGTTTTTAGTCCAAAAATATCAGTAACTGAGCAAATGCAACAATCTCGTGTGGAAAAAAAAACGAACGAGACCACAACAAATTGCATAAATGAGCGAGGAGGGCCCGATGGCCCTCACCGCAGGTCGCGCAACGACGAGAGAGAGTGTACCGAACGGAGGGTGGCAGACACACACCATCTACACCAACACAGTGCACGGCCAGGTGAGGCGAGAGATTGAGAGACGCAGACAAAGAGGGGACGGTTTGAGGGGTCCGTGTGTGCGGAGGGAGGGAGAGACAGTGTTTACAAATAATTGATGCGTTACTCGACGCTTAGGTATGGTTGGGAATTGAGAGGAAGTTGACATAGAGTTTGGCAAAGTTAGGAATTCAAAATTTCAGATCGTTGGACATCATGGGAAGCTTCTAGTCATAAGAATCGTAATAATAAGGCGTAAATTTTGGTGTCAATGACATTAAAATGAGCAGAACTCCTACAAAAAATTTGGTATAACTTCATAAATTCAGCTAAATAGCTATTGGCACAAGGAATTTGAAATCTGTATTTCAAATTTTTCCCATTCAGACGAAATTATGAGTATGTTAAAGCCTAATGTTAGCCAATAACGGTACAAAACGTCAAAACTAGTTACGTTTACTAAATTTCGAAGCTAAAATTCCACAGAATATTTGAAACCAACAGAAACGTCAAGAAACTGAGAAAGTTACATTATTGGTGGCGACACCAAACGGCGCGACACACTGGCGCCGCCCAAATAGATTGATTCATGCATCCACCTTTTTTCCGACTCATACAGGTTTTGAATATATTGTACATTATATAAAACCGACTCGACAGATGTTAGGAGAAACGAGGTCAACACTGATTCAAGCGACAGGTGAGTGTTACCGCAGAAAGACAATTATGACCATTTGGTTATTCAAATCGAGAAGACGAGAACAAAAGAAAAATGAACCTAGGTCTGGTCGATTTCCGGATAATACTGAGGCGAAACGCCGCGAGGCACAGCTCACAGTACGGCAATTTTGTGAGACTGAAAATTGAAAATTTTCGTTTTTGAGCAACTATGTCTTGCTCTGATGCTAATGCTCGGCTATAAATTTCTGAGAACGTATAAATTTTAATTTGTAGGAACAGATGTACCCGCTTATCAGATCGCCATGAATTTTGCGACGACATTTGTCACTTGTCACGAAAACAATCCTAATTATACATGCGCGCGCACTTCTTTCGAATCACCGGGAAAGGGAGGATTTCGGAATAATAGAGCGAGAGAGAATGGAAAGGCCATATAATCTATGCGGATCTCATTAATGGTCTCTTGAGAACGGCAGCTTCTCCCACACATACACCGTGACGCCGCCACCAAAAAAAGTAGAAGAATGGGGAGTAAAACCAAAAAAAGGGAATGGAAAAAGGAAAAGATGAAGAAGAAGGAAAAGCTATTAGTCAATTGAAGTGTGGAGGGAAGTGTGGAGAAATAATAGGAAGAAGAACTCCTCTTTATTTCTCATGACGTGAATGGGGAGATGTGAGAATGACTCTGAAAAAAAAACTTACTGCTCCATCCATTTGGCTCTTTCGTTCTGGGATCGGCAGGCGTAGTAGGTTTGTTGCATTCGGAAACAGTTCGGCACGTCCATGATGGAAGCGTGGATAGGGTGAAGGCAATTTTCGTTATCTGGAATTAATTAATTAGTTTTCATATTTAAAGGAGGCCAGACACCAAAAAAAAATTTCCTGATATTTTGCATAGAGAACCCCCATGAGGGGTTGAACTCATGACAGGCAGCTCAGGGGTACAGCGCCGCTACCGGCTGAGCTACGGGGACGCGAAGGCGCCTGACGACCGTTGGTCTACATAAGCGCGGCGCGATTTCGTCCCCCGAACTGTCCCCCGAAATTTTTGCTGTCTCGCCTCCTTTAAATTTTCAGACCAGAGACCAATTTCATGAACAATTACTCCTTAAAGGAGGGACAAAAGGAATAATCTAGATTTCTCAACATTTCTCTCATATCAACACCTCGAGGAGTTGGGGGCCCGTCCGTTCGAGATGCCAGGTCGGTAACAGCCATACTTGTGAGAAAGATAACCGGCCGGCGAACCGGATCGGGCCGGGCCGGGGAGAGATTTTCTTGAAAGTGGGCCGGGCCGGTCGCCACCCACATGCATGTTAACAGCAGAACTACGGTGTCAAAATTTGCGCGGCCATTTCCAATAAGGAAAAAAAGGTTTTCAGCAAATTTTCCACATAACTTTTTTTTTTGGATTAAGCAAGGGTAATGTACATAATTATAGGCGTCGAGTCAGAGTCAGAAAAAAGGACTTTCTCAAAAACATGACAATTCTGAAAAACCTTCTGAAAAATAATAAACATCCGGCATTGTTGTTAACCAAAAGTGTTAATATAACTTGGAGCACCTACTCAGGTATCATATTACCACCTATGTTGCATAGGTTTCCTGCGTCACAACTATAAGTTGAAGAGGAAATGAGTGAGGTTGGAAACAACAAGTGTTCTCAGATTCCTGTGTGGGGGTGGATGAATGGAAAGAAGGTCGGTATGACAGGAAAAAGAGTTTGAGAAGGCACAACAGATACTTTTTGCTTCCCTGTCTCAATGTCTCTTTGTTTTCGTGTTAAAAACACTAATTCTTCTAGTTAGCCACCGGAGCCAGTTGGAATTGTATCCGGTTTTTTTGTAGGATATAATAAAGACTTTAAGGCAAAAATGTGATGGATGAACTGATTTTTTTTTGATTTTTGAGGATTGTATTTTAGCGTGATTGTGAACCTATGGGTACTGTAAAATTTATCAAAAACTGGTCAACTGAAATAACGTTTTGGAAAAACACTTTTGTAGTTCAGTATTTTCTAATATCTCTTACAATAACCGAGAAAAAGCCGGAAAACGTCGAATTTGAGACCATATATCTCATTTCCTGTCGAAGATATAGAAAAAATATGGTCAACTGATAAATTTTTTATCATAATATCACCAATATTTTATTATGTGACAATTTTTTGATACCTTAACAGGAATCGAAATAATTGAGCTCAATGTTGACGGTTCTAGGCGGCTTCTATCAGAAAAGGTAATTTTGAAGTTTAAACTTTTATAAAAAATATATATGGGTGCTGAGTTACGTTTCAAGGCAATTTTAGGCTTAATTGAATATGGTAACTAATTGTTTCAATTTATTTCCTCCATTTAAATATATGGGCCCACTTCTGGAAAAACAAATTCAACTTCGATAATCCAAAAAACCGTTTGGAGATAATCCTCAATTTAGGATTTTTACAAAAAATGAAGCAAATGGTGTCCCAATAAGCCCCGAAAGTTCGAAGTTTTAGAATGAAGAAATGTTTTCAAACCGGGAAAATCAAACAAAGCACTGAAAATTAGTAAAACTGATCAATTTTTCGCCGATTTTGAAATTTAGCTTCTAAACAGTTTTACCGCTCTTAAAATGACTAAAAACCTAAAAAGTATACTTTTCAAATTTTCAAATTTTTTATCAATAGCAAATTCATAAAAGTTCAACTCACCCAATTCAATCATATGTGTCGAATGTGCCGAACTGAGCAGTGATTCGTGTGAACGGCACGCCCTGAGACTTCCTTCGCGAGCCGGTTGGCTTAAATGTCGTCGAGCCGGAGGTTGTGCATACAGACTGCTATCTCTGCTTGGCGTTTGGGCATCCACTCTATGAAGAGTGCTGGAAAACGTTTTGGGTGGTCGAGGAAGGGGTAAGAATTCATGGGTTAGATCTTCCGAAACCACTTGCGATCTGTGTCAAGTGGACAAGAATGGGTATTTTTAATTTGCAAGGTAAAACCTGAGAACGATCATAACCTCTTTGTGGGTACTGTACTAAAATTGAGAACTTACGGTTGATTTGGAAAATTCACAGTATATGAACTGCTGCGAATAGAGAACATGTGTTTCATAGAGGCTCTCTTGTTTTCAAACTTTTGTGCAACTTTATCAGGTCACAAGTGTTTCAAATAGTATTATCAAATTAGAAATGTGAATACTGAATAGACAAGTCAATAGTCATGGTTGTCTATGTATTGTGGACCACTTTTTTGGACAAAACTGTCGAAGCGGAATCAAATATGAATGTATGCAGACAAAATGAATAAGGAGAAACAGAACTTCTAAGAAAACTATCTTGTTGAAGAAACTTCTGGAGGCAGAGAAAATGACGATGCGCTTTCTAAATCCGCTCCCGGCCCCTGGTGTCGTCCGCCCCAGGGGTTTAGCACAGTGGGGGTGTGTTTCGAGGATAATACTGGCAATTCAAGGAGGATTCTGACCCTTACAGGGGGAATTAAAATAGTAGCAAAGGGGGAAAAGAAAGAGAAAATCAAGAAGAATTACAACTTCTGAGAATTTTACGGCTTGACCTGGAGGGGAAAAACTTACCGCTTCGACTTGTACACAATCCGCCCACGTACTAGACGCGGATTCGCGTTGTTTCTTTCACGGTTCGGCGATAGACACTGCATATCGGAGCAATCAGAGACGAATGCAGTGGTGATACGTGGCAAGCATCGTTCGGATCGAGTGCTCGGCAATCGTTCTGAACCAAACATCGGTATGGTCACCGTGTCGAGACGTTTTGGGACACGAAACGAGCGATTGTACATGATGTTGCATTTGAGAATGAATTACAGAGAGGGGAAAATATGTAGATTTACATGTATAGAAACTTTGAAAATGATTGTTGGGGAAAAGGAAAATGAAATTGGATTGGAATGATGATGATGAGGAATACAAGAAAGGATCTCCGCCGTGCGGTTTTGATTGCTTCCTTCGATGGAAAGCGCTAGAAAGATTGAATATTCAAATCATTTGACGGCACTGTTGCTTCAAAGTGACAGGATGAACGCCCCCCGCCCGTGCGCGCAGGTTATTGTTTCAATTATTCGAGAAATTATCATTTTATCGCGCAAGGGAGAAAGAGGTGATTGAATGAATAATTGCGCTTTCTAGATTCAGTGGTTGTTCGATTTGAATTCGATTTTTGAGAAGTGTGAGAAAAGCCTTGGAACATCGCGTTGAGAGTTGAGCGCAATTATTAACCTTGTTAATGAAAAATGTCGAAAATTAGCATGATAGAAAAAAACAGCTCGTAGCTGTGGTTTACGGCCAAAAGACAACAATTACCGTAACATGGAATTGATTTCGTTTTCCTATTTTTTTGGACTCTTACTTTTTTTCAACTATTCTTTTGTTTTTTTTTGCCAATAAAGACAAACAATAAGAAGTCCAAGCTTCATTTTAGAATCCAAATTTTTTAGTAAAATCCGAAATATTTTGTTCATAATCCAGAATATATAATCCAAAATAATCAACTGGAACGATTGAAAACAAGAAAAGAAATCCAAAACCATCCATACTTTCAGATTACGGTAATTTATCTGTTCTGGGACCCTTGGCTACATCCATTCACGTTTCTTTCTAATTGCACTAATTTCTAAAACCAGTATAATATCAAGGCTCATCGTCACTTTAATACCAGTCATTTTGAGACCGCTCATTTCGAAACCGTGGTAATAAAGGCAAATGGATGAACTTCAAACTACAAAAAAGAATTGCAGGGTTTTTCTGGTAGAACACATTCTGAAAATTCAAAAATTCAAGAATTTTCTTCTTTTGAGAACAACACATTTTGGATTTTGTTCCAGATGTCATAATGTTTTTTTTTCAGAAAATGCATATTCGAAAACTTTAAAGTTGTTTTTGCAGTCTAAAATTTATCCATTCGTCAGTATTACCACGGTTTCGAAATGACTGGTTTCGAAGTGTCGCGGTTTCGAAGAGACGCGGAGCCAATATTTTTAAGATTATTCTAGAGTGAAAATTCAGATACTTTTCTGGAATTTTCTTCTGACAAAATTTAATATGAGCGGGCGTGAGAACAGCAAGATATATAAATTTGTAGTTTCGAAAAATAGAGAAATTGATCAGAAAACAAAAATGTTCGTTCTGGAAAAAAGTTAAGCTAGAATCTAGTTGTTTCAAAATATTGAATTTTCCTAAACTTCAGCTTTCAGATGTTTGAAGAAGCTAAATAAGATAACTGAGGCGGAAGTTTTTTTCTGGGACAAAAGTGTCAAAGTAAAAAAAAAGTCTCAGTTTACTTGAAGATACCTGATCTTGAAACATTAAACATTTTTCAAGCTAGATTCTAGCTTAATGATTTGAAGTTCAAAAAATAGAATATACACATATCCTGTCAAAACAAAAAGTGGTTGATAAGTGTGGAGGGGGGGGGGCACAGGTGGCAATTTTTGAGAAATGAGAAGTTCGCTCCAAGGGCATCTGTTGGGATGGAAAATGATGAAGGACCCCGAAGACAAAAAGCACATTGTTGTGTGCCCCGTGCTTTTTGCGATTTGCCGTGCTCTCATCAACAGATGGGGGCACAGGAAGCGAAAAAAAGTTTGGAAGGGACCTGCCGGAGTCAATGTGTGTGTATGTGCGGAGCACAATCAGAAAGAGCCGCTCAAAAAATCTTAGTGGAACAAGGGACGAGGTGTATGTGAGAAAAAACGTTTGAGAGAAAAGTGGGGATAGCGCGGCGAGGACCAATTACATAAAAATTGGTGGGGTGTAAAACACTAACTGGCACCACCGACCTCCCCGTGACATTTTTTTTTGATTGAGTGGTGAGCTCTCATGGGCACAAAATTGATTTCTTCTGGTGGGAAAATAAATAGTAATGAGAGAAAATAAACCAAAAAAATTATTCATAACTAACCTCCACTGATAAGGAAAGAACTTTGTTGAAAACTCAAAAATATAAAACGAACATTTTGAGTCCAGTTGTTCTTTTTCGGAACCCAAAAATAAAATTAAAATCCATTCGTTCGGTTTTCCGAATGTCACCCATGGGAGTCTCCTCTTGTTTATCAACGAAACATGTCAGCTAAATGTGAAATCAAAGAAAAAGTACTGAGGAGACGGACATCTGTGATGGGTCCCTTTCTTGAAGCGTAACGTTTTAGATTCATAATTTTGAATTTGAAAGCTATTGAGTCAAATTTGGAAATAATTTTTGCAGGTAACTCATGAGATGACTCATCAGATTCTTATCAATTTGATTGAAAGAAAAATGGAATTATCGAGAAAAACAGAAGACTTGGAAGATAGGGAAAATATCAATAAGAGAATCAATGAGAGAAGAATAATAAAAATATCACTTGATCTCCTCGATTCTCGATTGGGTTATGCAACCCGAGAGAAAAGTGAAAACCAAACTAGTTGGATCAATTGAACAGATGCATTTCAACGTTTATTTGCATCACTGTTCAGAATCGGTTTAACCTATGGGATGACCTTGAAAGTGAAACATGGGGGTTTAAGCCGGTAAATATACTGAAAAACTAGAAAAAATGGAGCCAAAACTTCTGTCAAAATACTATGCATCCGAGATTTGTACTTTTGACACTCTGTTTTATCAACAGCCGCGTGTGTGTGTGTGTGTGTGAGGAGGATGAGAAATGTGTGAATGACTCCACACAATTTTGAGAGGAGAAAAATGAAATGTGAGTAGTTTTAAGGATTGAAAAAAAATCTTGAGGATATAGAATGGGTCCTTTAAAAAACGTTAAAATGTCTCCAATTATTGGACTTTACGATTACAATCGGTTGCCGATAGAACAGCTGGAAAGTACACTTGAGGGTTAGTTATGAGGATCATTCTCAGGTTTCCCCCTTCATCTCACCGAAACTTTTGAAAATTGATGGAAAAAATAAAAATTAACTCACTGTTGATTTGCTTCAGCTAGCGATTTTTCCATCTTGCTCACACTCTTAGTCCGTTTTAGAGGATTTGAACGGAGACGGAAGATACTCTGGAATCAGGAAACTTGAAAAATTACTTTTTTTTAAAACTAACCGCTATCCTACTTCCAGCTGACGAATCGGATGGGTTGTTGGCTGGTGGCACAATCGGAAACTGCAATTGCCATAACGAATTAACAATAACATAGACGTCGTTCGGCGAGAACGCCGTCACATCGATCATTTTCATCTTATGTGACAGTGCTCCGTCATATGCGACTGAGTGAGTTATCAGTTGTATTTTGGCATGTTAGTGATCCTATTTGTGAGTCATCTACACTCCCACCATTCAAAAAAGGCATGAAATAAGGTGTGTGTTCAAATAATAACTACGTATTTTTTCCCATTCTCACTATCTCCATCTGTATTTATTTATGAATGCATCGCAGTTTTTTGCATACCAATCAAAAAAGGTAGAAACTAATGGAGAGAGGGTAGGAGAAAGGGAATAATATTGTTATCATTAGGTTATGAACAGTTATTGGATTTTTAATAGGCGTTATTATGTTCTAAAAACATTCTGGATGACTGAAAGAACACCGTATTTTCTCTAATAGAAGCCCACGACCGTCTAGTAAAAGTAATTCAAAATTCCAGAATTTTCGGAAGTGTGATTTTAGAACTTGACATTTTCTCAATTTCTGACTAGTTTTCCAATTTCTAAATTTCAGAATTTCAGATTTTTAGAATCTTAGATTTTTCCAGAATTTCAGAGTTTCTGAATTTCGAACTTTGAGATCCTGGAATCTCAGAACTTCATAAATTAGGAATTTTGGATTTCAGAATTGCAGGATGAAAATTGTTTACAAAGCACTGAATTTCAGTATTCTTCCGAATTGAAAACTTCTGAATTTTTGAATAACATTAAAAAAATGAATCATTGAAAAATAGAAGCCCACCCTCTAATTAAAGCCAACCCTGAGAACGAGGTTGTTTTAATTGAAGCCAACCCTGAGAACGAAAAATAGAAACCCATGTGATCTTCTATTAGAAGAAATACGGTATTTCTAAATAATTCTAATGTTTTCTTTCTGAATAGTAAAGCAATTTTTGACTAAAAAATAGGTGAAATTATTGTAATTAGTCTCTAGATGATGAAGCCATAGCCATTTTCTCTATTATTTCATTACTTTTGATATGAGAATACCTGATAACTTTCAGCCAAATTTCAATCTGATATTCATAGCCAAAAAATGCCAAAAATGATAAAATTAGCACCGAAAAAAGTAAAGTAAGCCATGATGCGTTTAAAGCTTGGAAAATTAGAATTGAAGTTAGAAAATCTTAAAAATGATTCTAACTGTTTCTCTATAGGTCTGAAGCCATTTTTTTGGACAGCTTTAGCTTTAAAAAGTAATTATTTTGAGTAATTCAAGAGTTACGGTTTCTCTAAATCTCTCTAGAATTCAATTTAATTCGATTTACCCCGAATCTTGAACTTTTCACAATTTCCAGAAAAGCTAATACCCATGAAATGCAGTTTACTCGGTTTTACTACGGTTTGTATACAATAAACACTCACCCCATACGCATTCGTTGGTCCCTGATTCAAATTTTGTGACGATCCGGATAGTCTAGTCGACAAATTATGACTAGACGATGACATGCGTCCATTCATCATGTTGTTATGCACCGATGCGGTCAGTGTCGTTCGATTTCCAGCAGTCGACGCCGCGGACCATCCTCTCCGATCCAGTGACTCCCCTCCAAGCTGTCCACCATTTGTTTCATCGTGTATCGCGTCTGAAATCAGATACATTTTTGATTTATGCTCTTTTTAAGAATTTGTTATTCCATATCTTATTTGACCTATTTTCTCCTCTAATAAAACAATGCGTTATGTTGTTCCACCTCAAACCTTCTGTGCACACAAACCCCTGTTTTTAGGTATTGTTGGTGATCACAGAAGTGCAAGTAAAACAATGGAATTGTTGTGAATAATACATTTTGACGGTGCGCAAGAGAGGAGAAACGCTTGAATTAACGCGGGTTAACCCTATCGCATTATTTGAAACCTGAAGCTGACGCCATATATCCAGAAATTAAGGAATTGGTTTTGAAAGATAATAAAAAGTGGATTGAAAACGACTAGAATACCATTAAGTTTCTAGAACATGGATTTTTAGAGCAGAGGTTACTGTAGCTTTCGTTCTTTTTGATATACGCCAAATTACCCAATGAAAACCATTCAAGTCAGATTTAGTCAATCACACAAGATAAGCTTTTCCATCAATTAATCTGCCACTGTTTTGTGTCACATCATACCATCTGCGTGACCGTAAATCTAATGTTTTCTTATCCCCAGACAGAAACAGAATAGTGCAAAAATCTTGTTTTTTCCTTGCGAAACAGATACATCAAATAAATTTTCCGACTCAGTGAAGATTCGAAAAGTGTTTAGTGTTAGCGTTGCCAAAGTAAACATGAAAAATCACAGAAATATTACCACGAAAATCGATGTCATAGTCCACAGGTGGCACATATTCTTCAGGAATAATGTTCAGAGAATATGTACTCTGAGAGTACCAGGGAGATACTCCATATCGTCGCATTTTGGATCAAGTATGGAGGAAAAGTGACCAGACGACCCGGGTAAAGTAGCGTTAATCAGTGGGTGGTCCGTTCTCAACACATTTGGCCTTGCAACACGCTACGCCACTCACTGATAATAATAATAGAGTGGGGGTGGTAGTAGAAAGAATCACGAAATTGATAGAAAGATAGAGAGAAAGAGAGGAGAAGAGGGAAAAAGTGTTACAAAGATTATTAATGAACGTGGAGGCAAAAAGGGAGGGGACTAATGAAGAGAGATGGCACTGTCCTGCCCTTCGTCTCTCTCACTTTTTTCTGGGTATTCCTATCTCTCCTGTTTTATCTCTAAGCTTCTTCAGTGTCGCGCACCCTAGTGACAATCGTGTACGATTTGATTCAAATCGAGGAGGGAAGGTGGAAAAGTGAGGGAAAAATGCGCGCCGTTGTGTTCTTGATGGTCACTCCCGGTCACTCCGCCCATCCACCAGAGGGCTTAGGTACACTCCGCGCGGGGTCTTCCGCGTTTCTAACTAAGCCGAGTTGTTGAGGTTAGACCTTCGAACCTTTTGGCAGAGATGGTTGGAAGTGATAATGCGTGTTACCGATAAAAAATAATCTTTTTCTACGACGCTCAACAAAAAAAGTGAGAAAATTACACAGATTTTAACACTTGAAAAGAATTCAAAGACGTCAAAAAAAAACGAAACACCCACTTAAGACACTTTCCTAAATGTAAGATTTAATTCATATTTCTTCGCTCTGAACAAAGGGCAAAAATCGGAGAATTTAGAACAAGGACTCTGGAAAAAGTGGGTCCTTCCTCCTGTTTACTCCTGATCAAAGTTCCAAAAATTTTTCGAAACAGTGCAAATATACATTTCTTATCACTGCTTACTGACTGATCTTTTGAGCGTTTTTGCATGTTTCCAAGGTCATGTTTGAGCACATCAGAGCACAAAATTCCTTGGTGACTCCAGAATCCAGATCCTTCGGAACACAGCTGGCATCTGATCAGATAGCTCAGATATAAATCAAATCTCGTTTCTGATTGTGTCGTTTGCTCATCACCCACACAAGCTCGTACCACTTATGTGACCACTTGAATCTCGGGACAAGCGCACCTACTACCACCCCGAAATGATCATTCAAAGACGAACACGACATGTCATCTTTTGCCGCCGTATCAGTGGCTACGAAATTAGATGGCGGGGTAACAAAAAAAAGGTGTTCGAGAAAAAAGGAAACTATTAAAATTGGCGATTTTCAATTAGTGGAATGGTTTCATGGCAAGTACTGTAACGAGGTGTGACAGGAATTTCCCATTTGTTTCGGGTAGTTATCGAGATGGTTATTGTCTCAGAAATTCATCGCGTTTCTCGTAAAGGAATTGAAAATGGTAAAGCGATGTTAGAGATTTTGAAGTGAAAATTTGATTTAAATTTCTCAAAAATATTCTAAAATTCTCAGAAAACGTGAAAACCGTGACAGAAGAGTTCTAACTGTGAACCAATTTTTCTGCGTCCTGTCAAAAATGTCAAAAATGTGTCAGCTGACACAAAATTTCCAATTTTATGATAAGAATTCATCAGTTGGCAACGTTTAGAAACCGTAAAACCTGTATTAGAAGGGCCCCTTTGATATTAGAAGGGCCCCTTTGATTTCACGGTATGTTATGCAGGAACCGAGAAAAATTGGTTCAGAGTTAAAGAGAGAGTTAAGTAAGAGGGATCTTCTATTACAAGTATCACTGTAACCAAAGAAGAATCACTTCAATTCAATCAATCGTAAAAGAACGATTCTGAAACAATTTGAGAAATCCTAATATGACCGTTGGAATACGATTTTAAGATCAAAGTAATGTAATAATAGAGCAAATGGCTATGGCTTCATCATCTAGAGACTAATTACACTAGTTTAGCCTATTTTTTAGAAATAAAATGTTTTACTATTCAGGAAGAAAACATTAGAATTGTTGAAGAACTCAATTTTTCTCAACTTTGATACATCTCAAAAACAGCTAAAAATCAAAAATCGATATTCCATACAGCTATTCTAACTTTATCAACGACATTTCTAGGCTTAAATCATATCATTCTCTCATTTCTCAAACCATTCTTGACGATATTAGATAGATCTTTTCTTTTTTTCTTAAAAAAAAGCTTTCCTGTCTTCGAAGCCATTTTTGTGAGCAATTTGGCCACTTTTTATGGCCCATATAAATCCACAGCGAAGACATCAAAAACAAAAAGGAAAGTCATAGAAATAAACGGTCATAAACTTCAATAGTTTTTCCAGAATCCTTACCTGGAAAGGCATGTCATGCGGGGGTTAATTTCTAGACTGTCATTAAATCAAAGAACTTTGAATGAAACTGAAAAAATTGGATTTGAACGACCACCGAAACTCCAGAGGAGAAATTAAAAACGATGCACTACGGAGTCAGGCATGTCCATAGAAATGGGCATGTGGCAATTCTTCCAGATGAGATGTCTTAGAATGGGTGGACCCTCTAATGGAAAAAGGTAACAAACAACACAAGTTGTTTCGACCCCTTTCCCTGAGCATCTATAGTCAGACTTCATTTTAAAATTCCATCTTTTTTCCAATTATTCAAATCCAAGAAAAAAAAGCCGATCCAACTTCTCATTTGTCTTATTTGGAAAAAAGGAGATTTCACCAAATGAAGTGGATTGATGGATTCCGATTTGGAGCAGCCACATCTTCCACGGGAGGTGCCAAAAATTCTCATTTATTTTTATCTTCTTCTTCCTTTTCAAGATGGCCCCCCTCACTACCAAATCTGGCAATAACTCAAAGTCAGGAGAGACTGGTGGACTTGAAGAAGAGAAGAGCATTAATTTTCCGAATTTACGAGCGCCAGTCATCGTGACTGCCTCTATTGGAAGAGAATATAGATTGAGAAGATACTACCGTAGTCCAGAGCTCTCAAAGACCAAATGAGCTTATTTTTTTAGAAATAAGCAACCGTAGTACAGTTAAGTAATCGACATTAATCGTTTCTTGCTACAGTATTTCGTACATCGCATATATTTTTCTAGTTACATCTGCAAAATGTTAGTTTTCCAGGTTAGTAAGTTAGAACTGTCGTGAACACGTCCGGTACATCTCGATGCCAATCTCCAATCATGACAGCAGTGATGATTATGATGATCTGATGATAGGCTGAATCTCTGTGAAACCAGTTTGTTTTGCAATAGGCGCTGGCCCACGCTCTCTCTCTCTCTCTCTTTTTCTTTTCTAGGTTTCTCCTGTTTCGTCATACCGAGAGTAGTTCAAGTTCATAACCCCATCCAACCGCGGAACTATACAATAACACAGGTTAAACATTTTGAATATATTCATATTAGACAAAAAAGCAGTGCAGGATTAACCCCAACTACAATCTGAGAAGACGATAGGTCAACAGAAGAATGGAAGATTTGAGAAATCATTAAAAAATCCAAGATTTTGATTCTGGAACAATCTCCAAGATGTAGATAGGGCGACTAGCGAGTTAAAGTGCAGAAAGCGGTATTCGAATTCATTTTGAGATTGTTTTTTTTTAGATCAGAGTGAGATGAAAGGGGAGCATGGAGATCTAAGGAAAATTCGAGAAAGAGAAACACGACGGAAATGTTGTTGGTGATGGGGTTGGTTAGATTAATAAACGAAGAAAAAAAAATTAGAAGTGATTAAACGAGGCTCCCATTGACCGTTGGTTAGATATCAGACTCACAGCAGGCTCCATGATCCTCCTTCTGGTCCTGCTTTCCAAGCATTGGTTCGAGCTCAGCCTCGGTGGCAACGGCACGATCCGTGACCGATGCTCCAGCGGCCTTAGCAACCGGAGCTGCCTTCGCGGCTGGAGCCATCTGGATTCCAGCTTCGACATCTCCAGCGTCCTCCTTCTTTCTGCAGCAGCCGCAGCAAGCTACGAGCTTTCCAACTAGAGCAAAGTAGATCGCGGTGATCCACGCCCACAGCTCACCAGCGATCACCAATGGACAGTAGAGGAGGTTGATGCAGGACATAGTAGTAGTCAGAATAAGAAGAGTGGAGAAATAGAAGGTTTGTTCCAGAAGGGTATGAGTTTCAGAAATGAAATTGAGCTCTTGAGGTGGGAAGTGGGCGGAGTAGTCCGTTTATAGGACAGGGGGCGGACCCCTAGGATGGAAGCGATATGGGTCTTGAACGAAATAATACGCCCAGTTGTAGAAACTTATGGAAAAGACTGAACGAGAGAGTACGTACGCTGGCGGGTAGCGCCCGTGACTGCCCAAATTTTGGCTCCGCCCACCTCAGCGCTTTTTAATCGTAGAGAGAAGAGAAGAAGACGTAAAGGTGCCCGGTGCAGGCGTTTTTTGTCTTTTCTGCTTATTCTCGGGTATTTCAAGGGATTGGAGGAACCAGCGAGGAATTGGTTGGGGGAAAGGAAGAGAGAATGGAAGGTTATCAGTTGCATGTATCGGAAGGAGAGACGCAGACGGATATGAAGATGATCATGATTGCGATAAGCTCTAGCTTATCATTTTTGTTTTCTTCTTCTTCTTTCTGTGTTCTCTTCTTGATCGGAGGAAAAGAGAATACCTGAAACCCCACGGGGCAAAATTTATCGCTCATATATCAAATTCTGGGGATGACGGTTTATGTGAGAGTGTGTTGTTCTTTTCTTTCTTCTTGATCAACTTCATGAGATGTTTAAAAAGATGATAGAAAGTTGATTCGGCGCCCCCATGAGCCAGGCGCTAGCTACCACAACACAAGCTTCTGTTCGAATGGGCTAGGGTCATGAACACCATTGTTTGGGAAAATATTGAAAGTGGGGAAAATCGGGAAGATGTATATATCCTGACATCCGGCGAACGGTGTATTTTCATTTGTTCCGATTTCCTCTCGATAATTATGAAGAGGATTATCGCATGTCATCTTCGAAGCAATCTTGATTTTGGAATCGTCTGCGGGAAAGGTGTGAAATCGAATGGGATATATATTCCAATTCGAGGATTTAAGTCAAATTCAAGCTAGCTTACAGTACTGTACGCGAAAATTTCATATTTTCAGAGGAAAATAGTCACCTTTAAACTCCTGAAATTTTGAAATTCTAGAATTTTTCAATTTTTCTAGATATTTAAGAGTGTAACAAACAAAAGTAGAGCTTCAGTTTTGCAGTAGAAAACTTTTTTATATGAATCCAAGCTGATTATCAGTACGTTTTGGTTACAAACGGCATAATTCACGGAAATTGAATCTGACGGAAATATTGTCAATTAAAAAACTGACATTCAATTTTTTCAGTATATTCTTGAAATCCTGGAAGACTCTAGAAATTTTTGACCATCCTTCTAGGATCCCGGAGCTGGCTAATTTTCACGAAATAGTCGAAATATTTTTTTTCTTCCGCTCTACTCTTTTCCCGCCATGTGATATGATCAGCAGCTATGGGCAATACTGTATTCTTTCCAAATTTTGTTCTATGTTCCAATTGAAGATAAACTTGGGGTTCAGCCCATTCTCTTATTTCAATTTTGATTTTCATCTTATAACCATCCTCATCATCATCGTTGTCACAATCACCCAGGAATTTATGAGAGGTTTATACAGGTTTGGTCTCGTGGGGCAACTGATGCAAAGAGAGAAAGATGAAACGCTGAAAAAAAGGCGTAGTCCCTGGAATGGTCAACACATTTATCATGTCGCTTAATGGGATCTTTAAAGTGACAGATCTTGCGGTTTCCTCTCTTTCTCGTCAAACTTGATTCGGTTTTGTTTAATTGAGAATAAGAATACGACAAAAGTTCAGATTTCGATAAGGAAGTCATTATCAAGTCCATAGGACCATTTCCGATTGGATTTTCAGAAAGGATAGCAATTTGCAATCGCCACATCATCAACTTCCACCGATTTTCTCGCGGATCCCGCACACTCGGTTTTGGAATCATCAATTTTCGCTTCAACATTCTTCCTCTCCTCCACGATTTGTAAATTATCCGACGGATCGCTGAAACCTCTCTTCTTCTTTTTCGCTTCTTTTCGCATTTTTCCACGTGAGGAAAAATGAAGAGGGTCCGTTGTAAAAGGAAGATGAATTGCACAGGGAAGCGTTATTCCTTCGAAAAGTCAATCTTGAAGAGGAAATTGACAGTTTTTCACATTTCTCATTCTTCCGATTTTTGCAAAATTCAAAGATAATTAAATATCAATCATTTTGAGGATTCTCAGGATATTAAAAGAAAAAAAAAAGAAAAATGGTATACGATAGGTCCGCAGAGGTTTCCACCGGAAATTGGTTTTTTCATTGTTTCTTCCTCTAGCCGTAAATCATGAAATGACAGAAAGTAAAAAGAATGAGTTGATTTCTATGGGACCCAGAACATATATACGCAGGGACGAAACCTCAAAGTATAAAATCAATAAAAAGTGATTTACGGTAAAAAGGAGTTTGTTTAATTAAACTTATGATATCATATACAAACTCTCGTGAGGAAATAAATCAGTTAATTTTGAAGGAAAGGATACAAAAACTTGACGGAAAACTGAAGACTTCGGCAAACTGATCAGAGCAATGTATATTGGAAATTGTTAGAAAATTAGTTCTCAAAAAATAGAAAAGAAAAAGATGTCGAAATTACGGTAGAACCCTCCAAGACGCAAGTTGAATATGAGGCCAAATTTGAACAAGTTTGAATAATTTCATATAATCAACTACCGTAAAACCTCTAATAGAACGACACCCGGATCGTCCACTTTGAGCCTATATATCTCATTTTCTGTGAAAGATATCAAAAAGTGGCTAACTAGTAAAATGTTGCTGATATC